ATATAATTATTCGCTCTCATAATCGAGAGTTTCGTCGCTGTCACTGTTGCCAATGAGGTCTTCGCTCTCCCAGACAATATTTATAGACCTTGTCATTCCTTTATTTTCTGGATCATTCAGACACAAATACCATGCATTTGATATCATCCACGAATAAAGTAAATAATTTCCTCACGATCAGCGATCCCTTCTTGTTTGGAAGAAGTCGAATTTCGAAACCACGCTTCTCGTGATATATAGTTTTACGCAAGAATAGCGTCAGCCATACTTTTGGTCAGCGGATTAAAATTCCTATTTGAAACAGCCGTGACATCACGCTAGAAAATCCAAAAAAATCTCTCTCTCTTTCCTTGAACCGCAACAAAAATGCAACATGTCAAAGGAACGATAATTGATCAATGACCGATAATAAAGGTGTTCAAACAGCCGTTGTAAAGCGTGAGCGGGTCACGTTACATACTGCATTCTGATTGGTTGAACGTGATACCAAGCTCGAAACAAATTCCCCTTCCCCGACAGACTTGGGTTTGTTGCCAATCAGAATGCAGTATGTAACGTGACCCGCTCACGCTTTACAACGGCCGTATGAACATCATCGATCACACGCTGTAGAAGAAATCAAATATTCGACTTTAAGCAAGGATTTTTCTGGAAATATTTGACGTGGTGGCATTCAGAATACATGTTGTGATAGAGAAATTATCGTTCCTTTGACATGTTGCATTTTTGTTGCGTTTCAAGGAAAGAGAGAGAGATTTTTTTTGGATTTTCTAGCGTGATGTAGTCGATTTCGGGTGCTAAGTCTCCAGCCTTCCCATTATTTAGGTAGAGAAGAGCGGATTTTGAAAAAAAAACATTAAATGGCCTCAAATCGCGCTGAAACGTCGCCAGGAGGCTGAACAAAGTAAAAGCAACGACTGCAACAAGTTTTGAAGCAAATCGTTGAGTGAAACATTTTATTTTCGTAACTTTATCATAACTCCCATACATTCCCTTTTATAATATGACTAGATTATTACGCGCGCTCTGATTGGCCAAAAACCAATGAACTATTTCCCCATGGGCTGCACGCTCGCGCACGCTGATCTCAACGGACGCTCGCCTTTTTTCTCTAAATTTTCAAATGCCCAAATTAGCAATGTATGTAAGATGTCATGTGCGAAGATTGTTGCGAGTTAATATTAAACTATTTACCATATATGGTAAATAGTTTAATATTAAAGCCGATCAAATTTCGTAGAAGAGATTTAAACTTGGTTGAATCGAGAAGGAGATCGGGCGCAGCGAGTTCGCATAAACTAGAAGACCTACATTTACTAGAGGGGTCGGAGATTGAAGTTGAAAAATTGTTCTGTGGGCTAACATGGAGATTTTTTTCCATGCTTCTTAGAACTCCCAGTATCGAGGCGGGATTTTATGGGTAAGCCCGTGTAGTGCCAAAATATGCAATGTTTTTCAACTTTTAATGCCGTGTTTTGCTTCTAGCGAAAGCTTATCTTAGAAAACAAGACCTTTAACCCATAGAAAAGGCCTTTTTGAAAAGATCTGAACAGATTGTACGAATAGATGTGTCATCAATTTCTCAAACTCGTTGCGCCCGGTATACTGTATATACTTGACGTGATATTATCGCTCATTCACAATCGTCTTATGTACTAGTACATGTTTATATGTAAATAAAATTCAAGTTAATGATATGATACACTTAAGAAATAGAAAAATAATCGTATGATATATAAACTGATTTGTTAGTAGAAGTTAAATTATTTATTTATTTTTTAAAATGTTATATATCATCCACGAATAAAGTAAATAATTTCCTCACGATCAGCAATCCCTTCTTATTTGGAAGAAGTCGAATTTCGAAACCACGCTTCTCGTAATATGATATATAGTTTTACGCAAGAATAGCGTCAGCCATACTTTTGGTCAGCGGATTAAAATTCCTATTTGAAACAGCCGTGTAAGGCGGTACTCCAGTGTTTATRTTGAATAAAGGTCCAGAGTCCAAACGTCGTTACAGGTCATCAAACCTGCACGCTAAAATCCTCGTTTTTCTGTTTCTTCGCCGGTCGATTACATAAATAAGGACCTTAAAGGTTAGTGCCAACCTCCATTCTCCCTGCTTTAAATTTATCATATCAAAATTAATAATTTTTCCGTACCTTTTGCTTTCCCTTTCTTCATTGATGGCTTCATACCTTCCATGACTTCCAACACGTCTTTTTTGCTTTGACGTTTTTCCTCTAGCTGTAGACCAAGTTCGTGCCTTTGAGCACTCACAGAAAATAATAATTTCAAAACGTAGAAAAATTAAAAACCAGGGCCAGATTATTGTTCCAGGCTGTCTTTAAAGTCTACTTTTGAGCTTATGTTTTTGATTAGCTTGATAGTCGTAAAAGCATAGAAATCTTACACGTGAAACGTGGCATGAAGCATTGTTTTGTTATGAAGCCATCCATTTGATGACCCAATGTAAGATTAGCTTTGCTAAATTGGTTTTTTATCATCGTTAAATAAAGTTTATTATTATTATTATTATTATTATTATAGCACACGATGTACAAGTATGTGAATGAATACCTTAAATCCGACTCCCTTCCTTTTTTTCCTTTTTGATTTGTACATTTTGAAGCTAACTGTGGTAGAAATACGCCATTTCCAAAAAGTTAGGTATCAAGTTGATGTCTAAATTTTTGGACGGGTATCGTATGCAATAGTAATTTAAAGCTCATTGTATTCAGTCGTTCATTCATCTTTTTTCAATATTACGGGTTTAGACGACGTGCAAAAACCGTCATAAGTAAAAACAATGTCGTATTCTTCTTGCTTGGAATTTTCTACGGTGGTGAAAAAAGTCGCTGACTCTCTTAATTTTTAATGCTTGTCAAAATTTTCTTTCCCCCTCGAAATTAATCGTGATATTATATGAGATATGATGCGAATACTGGCATAGATATATTACAAACATTTTGATATTGAAATTTTCTGAATGTTTTTGTCCATTTATACTGACTGCATTTTGAAAACAAACTTCTAAAATTCAACAAATATTTGGATCTCCAACTCTATTAAAATAAATAGGAGATCAAAGATTAATGAGTGTATGTTGCAGGTACAGATGATTCAGTTTATCATGTAGTGTTGATTATGAGTCTAGAAGTATTTTTACTATTTTCAAGCATGTTTGCTTTCAATCTATTCTGAATTTACTTTATTCATTGTTTTAGTAACATAAAAAAATACTAATAAGTATATATACTAGAACACAAAGATCTCATTCCTTTTAGATGGTTCTCGTGTGTAAAGCAAATCATTGCTTATTGTCTTTATTCATTCCCTTTGAATTTCACCAACAATTGTCATAGTTTTAATAAAGAAACTACTGCCATTGCATTTTCTTACAGCATTGTACAATAATACAAGGGAACATTTCTCTCTTTCCTAAAATATGGTTTCATATTTTATATAGTTAGATCATGACTCTTGTGCAAAACACCTGTAGTCAATGTTGTCTTGGTGTTCTTGGTAGAAAACCGGAATTCTTTTTATTATTCTAGCTTTGTAATCAGCCTATCCCAAAACAGTTAAAGATGTTCAGAATCAGTACTGCTCAGGCCAAGTGCATTGTACAGCAGCAGTTTGCCCGCTCAGCCGGGATCCAATCTGCATGCCGATACATCCATGCGAGTGCAGCTCTGCAGCAGGAATCAGGTCGACGTGAGCCAATAAGACAAGAAATCAAGAAGATAATGGTGGCTAATCGTGGCGAGATAGCCATACGAGTATTCCGAGCAGCAACTGAAGCTGGTATAAGGACAGTTGCTATATACTCTGAGCAGGATGCCAATCACATGCATCGGCAGAAGGCAGATGAGGCCTACTTGATTGGCAAAGGCATGCCTCCTGTTGCAGCTTATCTAAGCATCCCTGAAATTATCAGGATCGCAAAGGTAAGGAATTTGGAGAAATTTATATGTTTAGAATAAAGCCCTTTACTACTGTCTGACTGACTGACTGACTGACTGACTGACTGACTGACTGACTGACTGAATGAATGAATGAATGACTGATTGATCAATTTTTATGTTTGCTTGTACCAGAGGAATATACCAAAACAACACACAATAAATATATATATAATATTTTTTTCTTCTAGGAAAGAGAATGTGATGCGATACATCCAGGGTATGGTTTTCTCTCAGAGAGGGCAGACTTTGCCCAAGCATGTACAAAAAATGGCATCATTTTCATAGGCCCCTCCCCAAAAGTCGTACAAATGATGGGTGACAAAGTAGAAGCCAGAAGAGTAGCTGTAAAAGCTGGGGTTCCTGTAGTCCCTGGTACTGAAGCACCCATCAAAACAGCTGAAGAAGCCAGGGCATTTTGCGAGTCATATGGCCTGCCTGTCATCACCAAGGCAGCTTTTGGAGGCGGTGGGCGTGGCATGAGAGTGATATGGAAATTAGAAGATGTCGAAGAGTTATTTAACCTAGCTAGCAACGAGGCGTATACTGCATTTGGAGATGGTTCCATGTTTATAGAGAAGTTTATTGGTGAGTTTGTAGTTTGTCATGTTACCATTAGAAACAAATTATATGAAGAATATCCTGAAACAACTTGTACTGCTGGGCTGATCCAAGTCAGGGCATTGCTATTTCACAGATTGAACCCTGAAACAGCCTCAGGACTGATCTCAAATGGGGCATGGATAACTCACAAGTTGAACCCTAAAACAGCCTAAGAACTGATCTCAAACAGGGCGGGGCTCACTCACAGATCGACCCCAAAACAGCCACTGGACTTATCAGAGTCAGGGCATGGCTAATTCATAGATCAAATTGGAACTTAGTGTGGAAATTTAGAACCTGGAAAAACCCCTCTTATCAAGGGAGAGAACCTAGCGAGCGAGCTCAAAAGTCCAGGAAACCTGAGGATTTCTCTCAAACCTGAGATCCCAGGCATGACAGAAAAGTCCACTTCTAGCTGCATTTCCCTCTATTTCCACACAAAGTACAAAGACTAAAGTTGACTTAAATTTATCTTTCTCATCCAGAGAAACCAAGACACATTGAAGTACAAGTTTTAGGTGACACACATGGAAATATAGTTCATCTTTATGAGCGTGACTGCTCGGTTCAGCGTCGCCATCAGAAGATAGTAGAAATTGCTCCAGCACCACACATCAGCCCAGAAACACGAAAAATCCTCACAGATGATGCTTTAAAGCTGTGCAAAGCTGTTGGCTATGAGAATGCTGGAACTGTAGAGTTTCTGCTTGATCAAGAAGGCAACCATTACTTCATTGAAGTGAATGCTCGGCTTCAGGTAGAACATACAGTCACAGAAGAAATTACTGGGTAAGTGAATTGACCTATAACATTATGACGTCACAGCTTGTTTACATGGGCAAGAATGGTAGGAATTTAGGCGAAATTTTCTTTCATTCGAGATATTTAGTACAACATTTATCTGTTATCACCTTTCCCCGTCTAATTAACTATTTTTTATTGATTTAATTTGTTTTGCTGCTATTTTGCCCCCTCTGGTGACCATGATCCTTAGCGTTAAAACAATAGATTGTTTTGATGTGACGTCACAGTGTTATAGGGCAATTTGACATTGTCTAAAAGTGGTCATAAAATGCTTCCAATCGTGTCATTCTGGTCTCATCACTAACCAATGATTCATTATTTGCTTGTGTTCAGTGTTGATCTAGTGAGAGCACAGATAGGAGTTTCTGAGGGGAAGACATTAGAAGAGTTAGGTCTTGTACAAGAGGACATCAAACTGACTGGTGCATCTATACAAGCAAGAGTAACAACAGAGGATCCAGCTAACAATTTTACTCCTGACTCAGGAAGAATAGAGGTTGGTGCTGTTGTTGCTGCTACTGTTGTTGTTGCTGCTGCTGTTGTTGCTGCTGCTGTTGTTGCTGCTGCTGTTGTTGCTACTGCTGCTTTTCTATGCACTAACTCGTTCTTGTGCTGTAATTATTGTTGTTGTTTTGAGCTTGTGTTGCAGTGACTGTTTTTATTATCGTTAGCTCATTGTAGTTTACATCATTGATGTTGATTATTGCCATTGTTGCCCATTCCTCTTTCTTGTCACTGAGAAGCACCTTATCTATTTCTTCAGGTTTTCAGGAGTGGCGAAGGCATGGGAATCCGTTTAGATGGGGCTTCTGCATTTGCTGGTGCCATCATCTCACCCCACTATGACTCGTTATTGACCAAAGTCATTAGCCATGGAGCTACTCACAGAGAAGCAGCCACCAAACTCTCACGATCTCTGACTGAATTTAGGATTCGTGGAGTCAAGGTATTTCACAGTGCATTAATTAAGGCTATAGTATTATTTTATACTAACAAAATGACTCTCACTATTTCTTTTGTCTTACAGTCAAAACGGCTCGTGCCTACTCTCCTAGATTCCATTAGTGGTTACATTATTCGATGTTTAAAATATAAGATTCTTTGTGAGAATACAAAGACTCAGCAATTCAAAATAATGAACAATTCAAAACTGGAATTCTGATTGGATTAGGGCATTCCTTGTATGGAATAATCCAATCAGAATTCAAGTTTTGAATCGCTTATTATTTTGAATCCTGTTTTTTCGTATTCTCGGAAAGAATAATAACTTTCGATATTCCAATAATGAAACCATTATTGGAATCTAAGTGGGTAAGCTTGAACTGGTTTAACTGTAAAATCCCTGTTGACTACTTTGTATATGATTTGGCCGGTTGTATTTTTCATATTTTCTAAAACTATTGCACTAAAAATAGTTTACACATTTTTAGACATTTTCATTTTGGCTCCATAATAAAGGCGACACCTGAAATAGACCTTACCTGAATTCACTTGAGTGACCACAAAATAATGGTTCCAAACCGAGTTTCGACTTGCAGTAATTGATAAAATTCAGTAAAATAATGTAATAAACACAATGAGTCCAACCTTGACTTGGGTTCATTGTTTTGTTGTCACTTGAGTGAATTTGGGTAAATGTTTATTATTGTTTATTGATTCACTAATCAATAAATATCACACTTGTTTACCTTCCACAGACCAACATAGCCTTCCTGCTAAATGTCCTTAAGCATGAAAGCTTCCTTGATGGCGCTGTTACAACGGATTTTATCCTTAACAATCCAGAGCTTTTTAAAGTGAAAAAAAGCCAGAACCGTGCCCAAAAGTTACTTCAGTATCTTGGTAACGTGATGGTGAATGGGCCAGTAACTCCACTCGCTACTGGACTTAAACCAAGCAAAGATGAACCTAAAGTTCCATCGGTAATAAAGATTTCTTTTTACGGCGGTTTTTGATATTCTGTGAACTCAGACATATTGATAACTCGTTGTGAAATTCATTCATTCATTCATTTATTCATCATTTTTTATTACTTTTTTAACCGACTTGTAAGTCAATGCAACGCACAAGCACAGTTTTCTCAATATTTCAATGTTCAAACAGGTTCTCAATAAAACCTTTGAATGATGGCATCATTGACCTCTACTACCAGACTCCCTTGCACACTTACTTTTGATCAGTTAATTAGCACCAATATCTTACTATTCTCATGGGGAATACAAATTTAAATAAAAAAGAAAATTCGCGAAGCATTGTGGTAGTGGGAGTCAAATGACACCATCATGCAAATGTCCTTTTCACATATTGCCTTATTTCTTCCAGGTTCCCCACTCAACCTACCTGCGTCCCAAAGGTTTCCGCGATCTTTACCTCCAAGAAGGGGCAGACGGGTTTGCTCGAGCCGTACGAAGAAGCGACAAGCTATTGTTAACAGATACCACGTTGAGAGATGCCCATCAGTCTCTTCTAGCCACCCGTGTCAGGACGTACGATATGATGAAGATTGCCCCATTTTTGTCGCATTATTTTGCTAATGCTTACAGCTTGGAGTGTTGGGGAGGTAGATATGCGCTTATTTTCTACCTCTTTACCTATGGCGTAAAGTTTTTCCATTTCAAACTGTGTGTTATTCTGTTGAGAATAAGATTTTTTTGTTTGAGCGTTATCCATATCCATGTGTCTTCTCGTGTGCAACTGTTAAACAAAGAAAAAATGCTCTAGGGAATGACGCGTGGTCTGCAATGGGAAATGGGAAAAAAATAAATTACATCCAAGGAAAAGAGATTTCTTGCAAGTAATGTTTCCTTATTTCAATCCATGTGTCATTCCCTTGGGTTACTGACGTAATGTTTTATAATTTCAGTCCACAAGTCATTCCCTTGAGTATCATTAATGTAGCGTTTCCTAATGGACCCTTTTCTTAATTCTCCAGGCGCAACTTTCGACGTGGCTCTTCGATTTTTGTACGAGTGTCCCTGGGATCGACTTGTCAAGCTCCGTGAGCAAATTCCCAACATTCCATTTCAGATGCTGCTCCGTGGCGCCAATGCAGTGGGATACACCAGTTACCCTGACAACGTTGTCTACAAGTTCTGTAAAAAGGCCAACGAGTGTGGCATGGATATCTTTAGGGTTTTTGATTCCCTCAACTACCTACCAAACTTACAGGTAAGATAGTTGTCTCTTTAGGCGTTATTAACTCGGCCAAGAGCGAGATAGGTTGACAACGGCATTTTCCCGCCAAAATTAAGTGACACAGCAACAACGTGTTGAGTTTCACAAGATGGTAGCTCTATGGCGGGAAAATCGGACTGGAACGAGCGTCACGACGTCATCGGATGTAATCTTCACTTCCTGTCGATGTAATCTATCCTACTATCCTGCTAACACAAAATTCCAGAGCAAAATAGGTTTGTCAGCTTAAATTTCCTCGTTAATTTTGTTAATATTCCCCCCCAGCTTGGTATAGAGGCAGCAGGAGCAGCAGGAGGTATCGTAGAGGCTGCCATCTCGTACACTGGTGATGTAACCGACCCTTCCCGACACAAGTACAACATTGACTACTACATGGAGCTCGCTTCTCAGCTTTCCAAGTCTGGAGCTCATATTCTTTGCATCAAGGTATGTAAGGCAGGGTTTGGGTATATAGAGTAAGTGAGCACTCTCCTCTCACCTCTGGGGTCTCGGGTTCAATTCCTGGACTCGGCATTATTTGTTTTTTTCTCCATGCTCTCCAGTTTTCCTTCCTCTGCAAAACATAACACGCTAATTTCAAGTTAGATCTGTGAGTTAGCCGTGCCCTGACTTAGATCTGCCCAGAAATTGTTTTTGTGTATCTATACAAGATTTGAAGCTTTTTTGAGATCTGATCTGCTTTGCTGTACCTTGTATTTCTTAATCATTATTTGATATACTGTTTCTTGTGTTCATCAGGATATGGCAGGGGTGCTAAAACCAAGAGCGGCTACACTTCTAATCAGTTCACTTCGTGCCCAGTTCCCTAAACTTCCCATCCACGTCCATACCCATGATACAGCAGGAGCCGGGGTAGCTTCCATGCTGGCCGCGGCGGAGGCTGGTGCCGATGTTGTCGATGTTGCCGTTGATTCGATGTCTGGTATGACGTCACAGCCTAGTATGGGTGCTATTGTGGCTGCTCTAGAGACGAGTGAACACAATACAGGTCAGTGTTAAGGAATGTCAGTAAGGAATAGGATAAGAATCGAAAGAAAGAGAAGAAAGGAATGGAAAAAAGAAAAGGGAAGTGAAGGAAGAAAAGAAAAAGGAAAAATAAGCTAAAGCGTATTTCACGGGTTTATGAAAACCACTCTAAAAGAAAGCTAAGAAGCAAGCTCGTGTTTGTAATAATAATAATAATAATAATAATAATAATAATAAAATGAACATACATCTGATCTCACATTGACTTGATATAACTGGGAAATTGCTTAGATATATAATGTATCCGCAATTTCACTAAGAGCAATACTTGTAAGACGAGTTAAAGTTGTAATAAACAAAATAATGATAATAATAATGATGATGATGATGATATCTCTCAGGTATTCCACTGGAGAAAGTCCACGAATACAGCGCGTACTGGGAACAAGCAAGGCTGCTTTATGCTCCATTTGAGAGCACGGTGACCATGAAGACTGGCAATGCTGATGTGTATCAGAATGAAATCCCTGGTGGCCAGTACACGAACCTTCACTTCCAGGCCTACAGTCTTGGCCTGGCTGACAAATTCCCCGACATCAAGAAAAAATATAGCATTGCAAATAAGCTTCTTGGAGATGTAATCAAGGTAATGCTCGTACAAATTGTATAGAGATTTTTACAACCATGTTTGTAGTCAAACAATGCAATATCTTTTCATGACTAAAGAATTCATTTCCCAAAGGAGAAATTTTTTTTTGTTTTTCCCTCAGACTTGGCTGCTCTGATGTCACATGAAAAACCTCTATATCACTGTACATGGTTCTTGCTTAGGACACGCAAAACGTGTTAGTTGTCATCTACTTAAAACTCTTAACACTGAAATTCCTTTTAGTTGCGAGCAAAGTCACAGAGATCCAGCTTACCCTTTGAGACGAAATCCTTAATACTTCGGGTTTAATAAATACTATATATTTTTTTTTGCTGTTTCCTCGGAATATGTTGCAAAGGTTTGGAAAGTGCACTTTGAGCATTTTTTTTGTCGGATATTTTCTTGCAGCTGATTTTTCTCTAAAAGCTTTAACGTGAGTTGAAACTGCTCGCACATGTTAGGGAGGATAAGACAAGGGAGAACCGTATCAACTACCATACATTCCTACCAAAACTGTTCAAGAAAACTACTGCTTCCTCCAAAGATTTCTAATTCTCGTCATATTCGTTTCCAGGTCACTCCTACATCCAAGGTCGTCGGAGACTTGGCCCAGTTTATGGTACAGAACAATCTTGACGAACGCGATGTGCTGAGTAAAGCCGGAGAGTTGGATTTCCCTTCATCTGTTGTTGAATTCATGCAGGGTCAACTTGGTCAGCCCCATGGTGGATTCCCTGAACCTCTCAGGACTCAAGTATGTAGTGATTTGTAGATCCAATATCATTGATGTATATTATCGTGTAACGCATGTTTGGTATCATCATCATCATTTTCATCATCATCACCACCATCATCATTACTAATCATCATCATTAACACCATCATCATCATCATCACTAATCATCATCATATCACTATCATCATCAACAACAACACCATCATCATCACCATCCTTCCTTCATCTTCATTACCATCATCATCAACAACACAATTATCATCAACTCGTCATCAACTCGTCATCATCCTTTGTTGCCTATCATCATCATCATTATTATTATCGTTATCATTGTCATCATTAGCGGCATTATCATCATCCTTTTTTGCTCATAATCATCATCAACATGATCATTAGTAACCATAATTATCATCAACATCATCAACACTCCTCGTCATCACTATCATCATATATCATTGTCATCATTATCATCATCATCCTTTGTTACCTATCATCATCACCTCAATCTTTTCCCGATTCTTTCATAGATTCTCAAAGGCAAGCCCACGGTAGATGGCAGACCAGGAGAGTCTCTTGCCCCTCTGGACTTTGAAGCACTTGAAGAAAAACTGAAAGCCGAGTTCGGTGAGTTGAGTACTACACATAAAGACGGATGAATGATATGATTGTTTTGAAGACAGGACTTTGGTGGTATCTTCCCAACTCTCCTAAATTCTTAATCCCATTCATCTGTTATTTGATTCCCATTTTCTATATTTCCAATGAGATTAAATCCGTAATCTTAGTTATTTCTGTGTGAGAGACGAAAATAAGGCAACAAAGTTCCCAGTCTCTCTCGTTGTCTTCAACACAGGAAACCTATACATAAAAATAAGTTGCCTCTTTTCTTTTCCCAAGGTGACGAAGCTATTCATGAGGAAGATGTCCTTAGCGCTGCTTTGTATCCTAAAGTATTCCACGATTACATGATACACAAGAACGAGTATGGACCTGTTCAGGATCTTCCTACTAGACTCTTCTTAACTGGTCCTGAGATTGGTGAAGAGTTCCACGTAGAAATCGAGGTAGGACAACCACACGAAAAGCAACACTTTAAAAACCGCACTGCGCATGAACCAACCTCTATTTAGCGACCATGCCCAGTTGTCAAGGTCCCAATGAGAGTTTTTGCACTAATTTCTACCTCTATTAAGCGACCAACCTCTATTTAGTGACCAGTTGTCAAAGTCCCAAAAAGGGTTTCTGCACAAATCTATACCTCTTTTAAGCGACCAACCTAACCTTTATTTAGCGACCACTTGACCATTTCCCCTATGGTGGTCCCTCAATAGAAGACAGACATTCATGACCTTCGGTTTTAATTGGTGGTTTTTCTAGAAAGGAAAAGTGTTGAACATCAAGATTCTTGCCGTTAGTGACCTCCTTCCTAACGGAACGAGAGAAGTGTTCTGTGAGATGAATGGACAGCTTCGAACTGTTTTTGTCCCGGACAAAAGTGCAACCAAGGTAAGAAGTGGTAGCGAAAATGTACGTTTTCTTGTCGATGTTTGCTAACAGTAATGCATTTTCGTTTAGAAACCCATATTTTTCAATCCATTTTTTGGTCTTGCGTCCACTCTAAAACCATCGGGAAACGAAGGCATTTGAAAACACTCTCCAGAGTGGAGATATTTGAAAAGGGAGGCCTATCGTATTAGTGTGGCCGGACAGACGAAAGGGAAGGATTTTGAAAACACTGACGTCATTCACACCGGCACATCTGTTTTTCGCACGCATTTTCGATCGTATCTTTTTGATGCGTTTTCGCGAGACACAAAACGAGCGTTTCGAAATCACATTAGTGTGGATGGAGTCCGAGTGATTATTGAGATTGATTCAGCTGACGCTCTAGTTGATAGTACATGGCGAGTAGACGTGTCTTCTCATTGATATGAACGAAAGTATCCCATTGGTAATTCAAGTGCAATAAAAAATGAAGCTAAAACGACGCTCCACCCCTTTCTCCCTCCCCCCTCCCCTTTTCCTCCTTTCCAGTCCCCCCTCTCTAAACTAATGTTCTTCACTCTTCCCCAGACCCTAAGTCTTCGACCAAAAGCCGACAAATCCATCAAAGGATCAATTGGCGCTCCAATGCCAGGCAAGGTTGTCGGTATACGAGTGAAGGAGAAAGAGGTAGTCAAGAAAGGCATGCCATTGGTTGTGCTTAGCGCCATGAAAATGGAGACAAATGTCAGTTCTCCATGCGATGGTGTTGTGAAGAAAATATCGGTGTCGTTAAACTCTGGTGTCGAGGCGGGAGATCTATTAATCGAGATCGAAGCAGCAGAGTGATATCACAAGTTGGACTAGTAATTTGTTAAATTCTAGGAAAAAATTAGGATTACAGGATTGAACTTACTAGGATCGATGAAAAAGACCTTTATAATGGAATATTTATAATGTCCAGTGATGAAGACCCTAAAGAGATCATTCAGATATAGAAAATTAACGTATTTATAGTTAAAATAAGTTTTTAGGAATAGAATAGTATTTTTGTGATAATGAAGTCGATTTTGTGGAACTTTATGAAGTACGTTTGTGATCCTTTGACTTCGTCTATCTTGGATTTTTTTCTTTTATTTTTTTCGTCTGTGTTGGGGATCGCAATACAATGATTATTCGAATACTAAGGTTAATGTCAAATGTATATTTTTTGGTTCTAAATAAATTTATTGAACTTTTGTTCATACTGAATGCTGTCCGGTTTTTTTTGTTTTGTTTTTTGTTTTGTTTTTTGGTTCATGTTAATGATGTCTTTTCCTTCAGTATTAATATTTAGACAGGTTTAGCCTCAGTTTTCCGAATTCTGCGGTCTTCGTTCACAAGCAACGCGTATGCACACTCAATCAGGATTCCCCTTCTTGTTCTTTCCAAAGCATCAATTTAGAAGTACAAATGCTAAGAAGATTTGGTTTTAAGATCATTATCATCATTTTCATCAATTGGTGAATTTAGGACCATACTTCCAGACATCGAGTGATGAACCGTCGTATGGCAGCGCGAAGCATTTACAGCTACGCCGGAGATTTCGGCCCCGACAACGCTATCCGAGGACTTGCAGACTGATCAGGAAGCTCGACCGAAGCCTAAGGGAGAGGTTGGTCGGCCCCTTGACAGCACAAGATTAATCCCTTGCTATGACCAGCATACCCGGTATTTTTATTTTATCGCTGATGCGGTAGCGCCCATGCTACTCCGTTCCATGTCCTAATTTTTTCCAATTTCTGGTTCTCAGCCTCTCACGGACCTACTAGTAACGCCTGGAAGTAATGATGACATTGCACCACAGAGTGTATACAATGTCGTGAGGGATTACTTTAGGTTATTTTTTAAGGCGATCTATTAGTCGTAGTATAATTCTGCTGATCCGGAACCTACCTAAAAAGCCCCAAAATAAGGAGAACAGTTACATTGAATGGCTTCTGCTTCGCGTGGTAGGGGAGGACGAGCCAGGAGACAGGTTTGTAGTTAAGGGCATAAATGTTTTCCTACGCAACTCAAATGAATTTCCTCTTAACAAATAAATCAAGTTTAAGGGAATCCTCACTCCTCACGCAAGAAAGAAACTACTTTTTGCAGCTACTTTTTGAAGGGTTTTTATTGAGATTTTGTGCTAATATCTTCTATGCATTGAGAAGGAATCTCCCGAGGTGAAGCTTTCAAAGGCCTTGTGATATATCTGTAGACATGGAGCATCGAAAGAAGGACTTGTTCTACAAGAAGGTAGGTCCAACGATCTACTTAGATAATGACTAGTAGGTACTATTCTTGGGATGGATGTTACTTCATCACCGTCACGTTGGTTGACGATAACAAAGCATTCCTTATTAGCTTCTCTTGTTAGATCAACCAACATGGCATCTTCTTTATATCTTAAGGGATTTTGAGTCGTGGTTGCACCCCAAGAATTTGGGAGGCATCTAACAAACTCTACTCACATGTGATGCCAAAATCAGGAGTCGAACCAGAGACCCTAGAGGTGAGAAGCATGTGCATTACTGCTACACCAACCTCGACTCTTGACTTGATTTCCATTTTTCAGTATGGACTGAGCTGTGTTTTGGTATTTATAGGTGGTTTTCTATTCGTGGATGAGATATTGAGACTGAAGCAGTTTTCTCAGTACACAGAGGGGGATGTCAAACATGTTGTGGAAGTAAATGACAAGAAAAGATTTGCAGTACAAAATGATCCAGTTAATGGAAGGTTGATGATCAGAGCAAATCAGGGCCATACTCTTGAGGTAAATGGAAATAAATGAAAAATAGGACAAAATGGGAAGAAATGAAATGAATCAATCACAACATAGCAAAATTTAAAATTTGTTTTTTTGTATTTTCCGTTCTCATTCATTATATAGAGGTTGTTTTTAGAAATGAAAGGATCTGTATTTTTTTAGCCCCTTAGAGTGCTTGAAAAACATTTTTTTATTGTAAACAAGCAAACTTGAAAAGTAACAAGCTCAAAACACTGACATATGCAGCATGAAGACAAAGGAGAAAATTTCCTCACGCTGACGTCAGCAAAAAAACTTGCTCAAAACCAGTTCACAGACCATGTAATATAGCTCTGTAATTGCACTCAAAAAATGGTTGTAATGCATGGGAAATTGAATGCGTCGTAAAATAATTCATGTTCTTCCATCACTTATTTAGTTAACTCAATTAGTTCAGAATACGCCTAGTTAAGTGTTCAATCATTCTGAATTTACTATTTCATTTATGTTTTCTATTGTTCAATTCGTCTCATTCATTTATTCATTTCTCAGGTTGATGGTCTGGACCTACAGCCAATCAAAGGCTCAACTGAGGCACCTGTCGTAGTACATGGGACATACCTTGAGGCATGGCAGTTCATTCAAAAACAGGTCAGGAAAGACCTTGCTTTAAGATACATTGAATAGACCGTTTGCCTTGGGTATAATGTTTTCCCAATTGACCACGTTATTCTCTTGGGAATAAGTTTCTTTGTTTAAGTCCAATCCATATTCATATGACAGTCTTCTCATGAGTTGTATCCATATTCATGTACCTTCTCATGCACAACTGTTTTGACAAATAAAATAGGAAAACGTTATGTCCAAGGTAAAGAGAGGTCTATTTTCAACATTTTAGTGCATGAATAATATCATTTATCATATAGTTATCCATAAAATACCTATATTTCTCCTTTTCGAAAAACTGATATTTTCACATGTGAAAATAACATGCTATTTTCACATGTGAAAATATCGTTACCATGCTAATTAGTTTATAAATAAAAACTTTTCATAATAATTAAAAGCTTATTAAGTTGATTTTATGGACAATTATATAATAAACAGAATATTACACTAGAAGATAAATTTCGTATCTCTGCACGCTCATGTAATATCCCTCTATTTATGTCACATAGGGTTTGTCCAGAATGGCACGCAATCATATTCACTTTGCACCAGGAGAACCAGGCGATGATGGTGTCATCAGTGGCATGAGGTCCAGCTGTCAAATACTTGTCTTTGTTGACATAGATAAGGCAATTAAAGGTAAAGTAAAATATGATATCCTGCAATTAACATAAGCTATTTGGAAAAAATGGCCAAATTTATTCAAACTTTTCTCATGGAAGCTTGTGAGCTTGTGTAAAAATTACATTTGAAGTCACTTTATTTTGGGGATTTTATTTACTAACTTTTTTTTCTTTCAGATGGTTACAAGTTTTTCAGATCCACCAATAATGTAATCCTCTGCCCAGGAGATCAAAAAGGATTTCTTCCACCAAAATACTTCGACAGAGTTATACAACTCAGACCACGTAAGTTATAATACCAGTAAAAAAAAGTAAAGTACCTATATTAAACGTCGGCAGTTCCTTCAGTTGAAATTCAACTGCTATCAATGGAATCCGACAGTTCCCCACTTTACCCCCTCTCTCGGATCCATCAGTGCTCTGTTTTAAGAGTATTTAAAGCTGAAGCTACACAGATTAGAGAGAAATCGAAACAGACGTGGAGATCCTAAGGATCGAACCGTGGACCTCAAGCTCTGAAGGTCGCGCACTAACCAAACTGAGCTACGCCTGCTCCTATAAACTATAAATATGAATAATTTATCGATCTGCTAACATCTTAGTGAGTTAGTGAGTGAGTGGTACATTTGCATATTCAGACCCCTTGCAATAACTTATTTCTATGCACTTCAAGTATCCACGAGTTAAAAACTATTGATACATAATTTACAAATCCTCTCTCATTGGAGTGACAACTGAGAAACATAAAAACTTATTGGAATTTTTTTCTTTTTAATACAGGTCGACAGTTACAAGTCAGTTGATGTTATCATGACTATAATATAACATCTTGTAATCCTTGGCACTTTATTTTTTTATCTAAAAATCATTGTCTTTTAAAATAAAATTTGAATCAATCCTTGTATTTCTTTTAGAAAAAGAAAAAGAAAAATGAAGGATATTTTTACATGTAAATGCAGAAATGGAGATATATTCTTTTTGAGACCACCTATATTTTGATTGTGGATAATGATGATAATGATGATGATAATAGCTTTGCCTTTTTTATAAACATGATGAAATTACAGCGAAGCTAATGTGGTCATGTATCTACAATATATTGAAAAATATTTAAAACCCCCTTGCTAAAACATTACACCCTAATACACAAATAATAATCTCCTACAAATTTTACCACTACCCTTTTCACCTGATCATGTTGTATTTAAAACACCGCTGCAGTAGTCTGCATCACATCCGAAGAAAATTCCGTATGTGACGCAGCCGCAGGCTACACTGCAGTCCCAATGAGCAACTGCTAGTCTTAATCAAGTTGTGGTGTCCTGTATACTACCAAATTAAACACGGCTAATTGAAGGAATGCCAAGGGATTAAAATAGCGGCCAGACATTGAACATTGTCCAGCCAAAACTGGGACTTGTCCAGTCAAATCTTCGCCTTGCTGATCATTTTGACCAAGCTAAAACTAATGACTAAGGTAAAACTAATTTGGCCTGTGAGCATGATTGGCAACTGATCAGCCATTATTTTAAGCCCTGATGCCTACCAGTCAGATTACTAGAACAGGGCATTTCCAGGAATACCAGTATCTGTAAAATCTTGTTTCCAGACGAACTCTTCATGATATGCAACAGTATCACTCTCGCAGTTCTTGGTACATGTGTATATAAGTATAGTACCCCAGTCAATACTTTCCTCAACACTGTCAACACCGAGGTGATTTAGTAACTGTGGCATTATCTGTTTTAAAGAAAAATAAAAATGGCATTGGAACAATCATTACTTGGGGAGGGGGGAAGAAGGGATGGGTCACTAATGGCAGAACCTACATACAGTAGCACTCAATGCAATATGTTTAGAGGAATATAAATAACACCATAGATTTCATGAATATGCTACCAAACTCCCTTCCCTTTCAAATTACTCCAGTCTTCCTCTTTGTTTGCTTGCAACAGGAAGCTTACAGAACAAAAGATTTTAGATGTATGGCTTGTAATAATTACAGTGCAAATCATGACGACATTTAATGTATTTGCATACTGTACTTCTATGCACTGTCTTTCGTATGTTACAACAACGCATTTCAATGTGAAGCCGGCTGGTTTTACCTAATAAGGTGTGTAAAAGCTCTCTTGGTAGCAAAAAGCCCTTGCATAGAATTATGCAAATACATTAAAATTTGTCATTCTTTTGAACATTGTGCTGTGAAACCTCTAGAAGTGAATCTGTAACATACTTACCTGGAATTCAAACTGTCTATTGGCCCCACAAGAACACTTTGGAATCAACTCATTACTTGGTTGGTGTTGTTTTGATACAAAAAGAGGTTTTGCTCCACGCTGGTATCTCAGCATCTTAACAGATATGGATCATCACTAGTTATTGCATTTTTTTATGAAAGGAAGGGGTAGCATGGTTAAAGTGCACTCGCCCCTCACCTCTGGGGACTTGGGTTTGATTCCTGGATTGTTTATCACGTGATTAGAATTTGTTAGGTCCCTTCCTTAATTCAAGAGTTTTTCTCTAGATTCTACAGTTTTCCTTCCTCCGCAAAACCAATTTGATTTTACCCTGACTTAGATCATGCCAGAGGTTGTTTCAGTGTTCCATCTGTGAGTTAGCTATGCCCTGACTTAGATCAGCCCAGAGGTTGTTTTAGCTTATTGAGTGTGAAGGTCAAAATCTATTGCCCATTGACCACTCATCGATAAAATCAGCATGTAGCATTTAAAACAGTGTTGTATTAACTTTTCATCATACCTGGTCAGGTTGCCTGGTGATTCTCTTCTTAAATACCCTGAACTGCTTATCAGCCAAGATGTCTTCCTTCCCAGCCATTGCAAGTTTTTCCAGCTCTTTATCGTCTTGGCCACCAAGATCAACTTGGTCAAGTTTTTTAGTTATTTTTTCAAAGTCTTTCATTCGCTCTTTTTCACTGCGCTCTTCAGATTCCACCTCTGAAGGCTCTGGTTCTGTGATGATCTCGAATTCTGGAAAAAGTAGCTTGTTTGTTGATTTTGATTGCATGTCCACTAAAAACAATAAGAGGAGAAGTCAATATAGAAGTGGCCCAAATAGGTCAATATTGAATTCGTCATTATCTTAGAGTGGTTTTCGTGTGAGTAGGAAACATGGTACTAACTTAGAGGACATACACAGGGCTTAAAATATAGGCCAGAAATCAGACAATTTCAAGCCAGAACTAGGACTTTTTTGGTCAAATCTTTGGATTGCTGATCAATTTGACCAGTAACATCCCGGGGGGGGGGGGGGGGG